TGCATAAACTTATGCATACATATTTATTTTGGAGAGGAATTCATAACCAGCTCAGCATACCTATGAGAATACATATGAAGTGGCACACTGGTCAAATTATTTATTTTCTTCTGCTAGCAGGGGGTGTTTGTGGAAAAAAACCCAACAAACCAAAACCTGACATAATGCTCATTTTCAGCAATATACTGAACTGTCAGTCAGTCAATACTTTTACAGTATTTTAGATAAGGTGAGCAACTCATCTGAACTACTTAAATTTCACTTGCCTGACCTCGACCACCAAGTGTCAGGACTTCCTGAAACCTCCAAACTATGGTTGTAAAGAAATGTGAGTTTTCAAACATGGAAGTTCATTAATTATGCTAGAACATTTTCAACCCATTTCTCCTAAAAGCTTATACTGCACATGTTTCTTCCAGCAGCTTTTTCTAAGGCCTTCCATTATACTCTCTGTAGACAACTCTCATAAGAAGAAGCAAGAAGATACACACAATTCTTGCAGCCTTGTTACAAGCTGCCATATTGGCAATCAACATTTTCACTCCTGATACTTCAAGATGTATTTTTCAGTCATTTAAGAGAACTATAGGGATTACCAGCCACACTGCAGTGTCAAATGTCACCTCTTCTGGGTTTTCTGTAATCCTGGGACTCTTTTTACCTTTTTTATTTCATTTGGTGTACAGTTTGTGGGACTTCAGTAACTCAGATTCTGTATATAGTTGAATCAGAATCTTCAAAAATCCATTTTGAAAGGTAACCAGCATTTCAGCAGCACATTTGAGAATGAAACAAGGGCTCTGATTTTATCCCAGTTTTTGCTTGCCATCCTCCACTGTCGGGGAAGCTCTATCAAACACAGCATTCAACTGCCTGAGCAGCACTTTGCATGTGCCTTCAAAACCTCTCCCAAGAACAGCAAATCTGGTGCCCAACCACCCCATTGCAGAGGACCTCAGCAGTCCTGCAGACCTTTCTGTAGCTACTCAACTTGACAGTGTCAGTTTGAATTGGAGCTTTGCAGAAGTTGCTCTCAGAGACTTTTTATCTTCTTAACTTACCTCAAAATGAAATGTAGTTTGGGTGTATATGCAAATTGTTTTTTAATTTTTTGTGTGTGTGAGGAAATGGAGAAACAGAAGTAAACAGGAACAGGAAAGGGGAACTGTGAAAGAATTGGGGAAGAGTTTGCTATGGTCAGAGGGATGAACAGAACAGACATGAGGACTAGTGCAAGGATGGAAACAAGTAACTTGGCAGAATATATCTGAGATGGAGTGCGTGCCAGTCCCCAATTTTCCCTCTTTTGTGAATGGGAAAAGGTCCTTGGGAGTATCAAAATCTTATTCATATCTCCTCTCAAGTCATCTGGAGCCTGAAAGGATCCTGAACGTCCGATGGACTCCTCTCTGCCTGTGCCCCATCTTTCTCAGTGCAGACAAGCCTCGTGGAGGACCTCTATCTTTGGGGAGTGATTAACCCCAGGGCAGTTCGGATAATGAAAATAATGTAATGGAAACAAAAATCTCTTAGCCTCAGAAAGACAAAATTAAGGTACAGATAATGCCTCCTCATGGTTTAAGACTGACTACAGCAAGGTGAAGAAAATAGTCTGGTTTGTGTGAGACTGGCTGGGGAAGATGTGGAGGCAGCCCAAGGCAGCCTGGCAGAAGAGAAAGGCAGCTTACCTAGATGACAGGGATGGTGGGGGCACAAGACTGGTGCAAACACTGTACAATGAGCCATGTGTGTAACCCTATGATACACACTCTCTGCTACAACAGTTCTTGTGTCACCATCTTCCTTTGTCCTACAGGCTGGATGGGGCAAGAGGGGAGCTATCAACTAGAAAGAGTTGTGTAGGCACAGGATGTTCTGTGACCACTGCACAGTAAAGCTGTCTGCAGTTGGGAATGGACTGCCTACTTTTTTCCCCACACAGTCCAAATACTTTTAAATGGTACCATAAGACCCACTCCCACAAGACAGAAATCAGGACAGGTGCTTGGAAACCACATATTACTTTCCAGCTAACCTTAAGAGCATCACCAGCAGTAACTGCAAATGTACAACTAATCATTAAGGTGTTAGAAAGAACAAATACATTGCCAACAAAAATTTTCTACGAAATTCAATTGCACAAAGCTTTACTAGTGCAGGATAGTGGGAGTTTCATGGTCTTTGTTCCCCTTCCAGAACTAAAAGTTCAAGAAAATTGAAAATATAAACCTGCCAACAATAAAACTTCCAAATTGGAAAATACCCAGCGAAGGTCACACGAGCTTTGATTTACCTTTCTGACTAGTTATCCCTAGACACACATTTTCACCTTGTATTCAAAGTGTTGTGAGCATCAGCCATCTACACCCTTCTTGTAATCAAATCAAAAGCTAATCCTTGAGAAAAAACCCTCTCAACTGCTACATGATTTGATAACACTTTCACTCACATGTGTCACCAATTTCTGTGCTTTCATTACCCATCCTTAAACCCACACGTCACACTTATCTCCCACCTAACTGCTGGCAACTGCATCACAAGACCATCACTTTGTCCTCTCACTGAAACTCCACTGAGCAGCAGGGAAATCAAATGCCACACCACACATCCATCAGCCGATCTCCTTGAAACAGATGGTAAAATAGACAGGGTCCATATCTGCATTTAATACCAGGAGGTATATAATCCCTTTTGGTCACTACCAGCTCTCAGAAAACAAAAGATTACAGCTGTTCAGAGTGTGCAGCTTGACTTCATTTTCTAGATTATAAAAGTTTGAAGCAACGGCATTTATCTTTTATTTCCTTCTCAACTCAACTTAACATTGTAGCACTTAAAGCCTACACAACAGACTTGCTGTTTTATCAATATTAAAATTTCCACCTTTGGGGAGTCTCTCTCATAAAAAGCACAATAGTAAATAGAAAAATGAATTAAATGGTTTAATATAACACAGTTCTATAACTTATGTGTTTTATGTTTAATACTGTCACCCTTTTTTATGCACATATACAGACTGCAGCATGTTGAGGGTGGGAGAGCGTAAAGGGAGTGAAAAGTTAGATCCTACTACTCAAACACCAGATACAGTATTTGGACATAAACCAACTTCTTCTGAGGCTGTGACTGCTAGATGTGCTAAATCTCGTATTGACACCCAACAGATAAGATTTTTTTTATACTTCTTCGTAAAGGGCAAAAAAATCTTCAATAATATGGAAAGCTGGAAAGCAGGCATGACAAGTAGCCTGACAATTTTTCTACAGCAAAGAAAAAACATACCCCAAGGTATGATTGGTTTTCACCTGTCAGTGCTTCCAAACACACAATCTGCCTTTGTGTTTGTACTTCTGTTGCTCCTATAGGAGCTGAACATGACAAAATCAAAGACCAGAAGGGGGTGCATTCATGCATGCGTGGCAGAAAGTAGAATGCTGAAAAATTCAAAGTTTGGGTAGTACATAATTAAAGCTATCAGTTCTGTTTCTGTCTCCTGCTGTGGCCTTACTGAAGCTTATCTGATCAACTACATAAGAAATGCTAAAAATCACTTGGATCAGGAAACCTGTGATTAAAACAATTATGAAGCAAATATATCTCACAGACTGTATTCATATATATTTTAAATTGCCAGATTGAAATGAGTCCTTTCTAGTAAGATCACATTAGCCTCATACTCCATTTCCCACTGATGACAAAAGCAATGATAGCAATCACAGAACTCAGTCTGAAATTAAGTCGTTCACTGTACAGGAACAAACTTATGGTACTGATTTGCCAACAGCTAGAACATAAAGTCTCAAAATTGAATGAATGCAATAAGAAAATACTGGAGCAATTTAGATGACAGAGGAGGTTAATAAAACACAAGATACAGAAAATGTATATGATTCATAGAAAACAGATCAGGAATTGAAGAAAAACATCACTTTGCCTTTTCTACATTTTTTTGACAAATCTAAACCTAGTCATGGACAATTCTCTTCCTGGAATTTTCTGCTTTGAATTTCTATATTTAAAACAAACTCACAATCTAAAAGGATGATTTAATGAAACCCCACATGCTTAATACATAAATAAAGATGCATTTAATATAATGCACATTGCAGTACCAAATCCAATTTATTATTAGAGAACATAGAATCATAGAACCGTCAAGGTTGGAGGAGACCTCTAAGACCACCGAGTCCAACCATTAGCCTGTCACTCTGCTGTAACCCTTAAACCCTAAACCATATCCTCCAGCATCAGATCCAGATGCTTCTTAAACACTTCCAGGGATGGTGACCAACCACTGCCCTGGGCAATCTACTCCAGCATCTGACCACCCTAACAATGAAAAGTTTTTTCCTTGCATCTAATCTGAATCTTAAACATTATCAAGTTAATTATCTTTATGATTTATGCATCACATGGTAAATTCTAGATGTATCTGCTTTAATTTCCACATGTCATTAAATGATTCTGTTAGATGCATGTCTTGTGATTTCCACACCATTTCTGATATTTTCAGTCACTATCTTTTCTAGCAAGCATGCCAGTTTAGGTCTAGCACTTCTCCATAAACTCCTTCCTATCTGGGACACTTTAAGTATCTTTTCAGAGATCCTTTTTGTTTAGCATGGCACAGTATTAATTGGAATTAAACTTGGATGATCCACACAGAAATCCATACTTAAGAAGTGTGTCCTCAGGAAATTCATCTTCAATCACATTTGGACATAGTCATACATTCATATGCTCATGTATGAAGAGACACAACATGTGCTCTAGGAAGAGCTTTGCATATGATGGGATACAGAAATCTGCATCATCCCACCAGACAACACCAGAGGGAGGTACAAGCCCCACGCCAGCCTGCATTCCCTCCCTGTAGTAAACCCACTCATCCTGTATAAATCTGATACATGGCTATCATAATACTGAAGTCACCCATCCCTAGTAAGGCAGTAATAAAAGCATCAGACATCACACATCCATTTGTAATGAAGCACTCCTACCTTTTCAGTTTCATATAATTTTCACTAGCTGCAGGTCTGCATTCAGCACGCTGCACCACTATTCCTTCCAAGGCAAGTTTATCTGGAATGAAAAAAACAAAGCAAAAATGGACATTTAAATAAAACTCATCAACATGGTCAACATTTGAATTATTTTTTCACTAATTCAGAATTTACTAAATACGATGTAATTATAAGTTCTCAAATCAAGTTATAAAATCTCTACTATTTAAACACCAAAGAAATAAGCAGGGATAACATGTTTGCACAGCTCGTATACCCTAGACTTCCTTGTATTGCCTTCAGATGCTTACATTTTAAGAATGAATCACAATGACCAAATCTGAAATACGAGATGGTAACTCCTTTCTCTACATGCAGAAGGGAAGAAGAAAGTGATGGTGGGCAAACACCTGCACATCTCCTATTATGTTCTGGTGCATAATGTGTGTGTGGGGTGTCAATTTATCCATCTCTTGCCAGTGTAATATGTGTAACAAACACCTCTGGAATAGCCATGCATGACAAGAAAGGACGACCTGTAATGGCTTGACTAGCTCTCACTAGTTAAAATGTCCTTCCAACAGCAAATCTCATCTTTCTGTTGGCATAGGGCACTACACTATCATTGTCACCTTCTGCTGGCAATGTCACAGAAGATAGCAGAAACACGTAGAAGTACTGATGCCAAGTAACACACTTTGAGAAGCCTCTGATTTTTCTGTTGCCTTATAGACTGAAATATTACTACATCTGCAAATCTATGTCTGCTCTCCCTGAATAATGCGGAGAGCAATTACTTCAACATCATGCATTTGAGAATAATTTGATCTAAAATTTCCTGGTTTGATTCAAACTAAATCTTTGAAAGGAATAAGAACGTCATATTTTTCAGGCAGTTTTGAAGGAAACCAAGAAAATTTGTATTAAAACACTTCTGGTTTGCTGGTTCCTAAGGTTTATGGTCAGAAGAGACCATTTGGCAAATCTGACCTCTTATGTATCACAGACAGAGAAATTTTATTCTTTCCTCTGTACAGAACCTATTAACTTATTTGTGGCTAACGTGGTCCTAATATTGCTGCTTAATTTCTAATATGAATTTGGCTTCAGCTTCCAGCACTTAGTTTTTTTTACGACCTTCTATATGGTGCTAAAGACCCTTTCAGTACCTGGTGTTTTCTCCCTTTGAAAGTACTAACACATTGTAATCAAATCACTTCTCAATCACTTTTTCAGTAAATGAAGCCATTTAAGCTCATGCATTATCTCACCACAAAGCATTTATGCCACACTTAAATCAGTTTTGAGCTTCTTATTTGCATCTTGTTCAATCTTGAAATAATGTTTTAAGAATACAGAGGCCAGAAACCAGACATAATACTATTGTACTCATCTTACAAAAACCACATATGGAGGCAAAATAACAGATACAGGAGCGGTAATTTCTTTCACCTCACTTCAGCCATCTCAAGGTTATTCAGCAGAATCTCTGAATTCAGCTGAGAGAGGGAGGAAGGGAGACTGTTGGAAGAAAATTGGTCCCCTCTCTTTTAGAATTCAATGATCTGCTTTGTGCAGGTGTTTTTTGCTGTGGAGTGGTTTGTTTTGGGGGGGGAGGGGAGGGGAAGTGTCTGTGTGTCCATGACTGCTTCATGTTTAGATGACTAAAACTGGGGTAAGATCAATTTGTCCTTAAAAATCAAGTTCTGGGCATTTATGGAGCTGACTGTCCCTTATATTACTAACACAACTATTTTGAGTCTTTTCTAAGCCTCACATTTTAACTACGTGCTCTGCATTCCCTGTTCCTAGGTGTATAATTGCCTTTGGCTTGGTTAAAGTGCATTGTCTTTAAACAGATTTTGCAAATTAAGTGATCCCAGTCACACCATGACAGTCCTGTCATAGTTATTCACTGTCTGACCAGCATTTGTGTCAATCACAACACATTTCATAAGCAGTGATTCTCACTTACCCCTGTCCTTCTTGCTAATCCTGGAGAAAGCCCTTCTAACTACAACTCAAATGGCTTCCTACCCATAATTACTATCTGATAACTGCCAGCTAGTTTTAATCTTATTCCAGGCTTGCTATTTTGTTTTAGACATAAATCAGAATGTCACAAGACTCTAAACTTAATGGGAAATACGAAATGCTAAGCAGGCTGGAAACACACTGTTACTTTAAGCTCACAACCTTCAAAAACAAACAAAATTAGGTTTATTTGGCCAGGAACCTTTACATAAAGCCATTTTTGCTGCTAGCGTTCCTTGTATTTCTGATATTATCTACCTCTTGAACTCCGTAACAATTTTTCCACTAGTTTCTATGGTACAGGTTCAAGGCTAACTAACCTACATTCATCTGAGCCATCCAGCCCAGCTGCCTGAACTCTGACATCACCATCAATCTATGCACCTTGCACAATTTTCAAATTATTTTGAAGTTTAAAGAATCAAGATCAGTAAAGCAGAGAGCTCCCCCACACCAATTATTTTGGGAGCGAACTTGACAATTAAACATGCTTATCCTTAGTGTTATCACAGAATGGTTTGGGTTGACTGAGACCTTTAAATCACTTAGTTCCAACCCTACTGTCATGGGCAGGGACACTTTCCACTCTACCAGGTTGCTAAAAGACTGATCCAACATAGCCTTGAACACTGCCAGGGTTGGAGTATCCACCACTTCTCCGGATATCTCATCTTCTGTGTCTTGGCTAATACTGTCTTTTAATTACCACTGATACAGACTTGACTTTTGCAATCAAATCCAGACAAAATGTTCCAATCACTTCACAGTGCAAGGCTGTCCACAAGCTCCAAGAACACCACCTTGCAGCTAAGCCTGTCTGCTGTCAAAGCTCATCCACTGTCCAAAATCCAAGGTTTATGTCCCACCTTCCCTGGACCCTCTTAGGGATTTTATCATACCCAGAGAGTCTAGCAGAATAAATTTGCAAAGATAGAGGCAAACCTCCAGATGCAAGACTGTAGTGAGAGAACAGCTTTTACACCCTTCACAGCCTAATTTATGATAAAACAAACTCAAATTCAGAGAGCTGGGTCTGTCTTCTCTTGCTGCAGGACCAGAAATGCAATGAAAGACATCCAAAGTGCTACACACCTGCCCTGACAGTCACATCAGACTAGAAGGTAAAGGATGAATAAGGCGTGAAAGTGGCAATTCTCTATTAAAAATACCTACTCAAAGTAAAGGAGACAGTACATGATAAATAAATAGGTCTGGAAGACTAGCTAAGACCAGTGATTAGAAGGGAAAATACGACATTTTCCCAAGTGTTTTACACTCTCAGTTGCCCTACATGGGGTGCCAGGTACAACTACACTGTCACTGCAGCTCTGGACAGGCTGGTCTACATAACCCACAGCTTCATCATTAGCTGGCAAATGCATCCTGACCTCCCTGCCTGAATGCCCTGGTGTCAATTCATAACGGAATTTCAGCTGTTCATTCAATAAGATGAGAAAGATGCTGGGGAGACACTGAATTCAGCTTCAAATCCTGCTGACAATCATCAAATTAATGTTTAAGGCAATGTTAATAAACAGGCACCAGGGAAATTTACTGGAATTGTGCAGAAGATGGTCCGATAGGGGTTGGACTGTTAGACTGGCTCAAAGATTTTAATGTATTAATCTTCTAATCTGACTGCACTCAGCTCCAATTTCCAGCCACTGTGTCTTGTTAGACCACTGACTGCTAAGTTGAAGAGCCTGCTAGGAAAGCATTTCTGTCCATTCAAGCACTTATGTACTCTCCACCTTTATCAAGCCTAATAAAAATAAATCATGTTTCCTTGAATCTTCCATTATGCTTATTTTTCAGCTTCTTAATCATTCTTATTGGCCTGAGAAAGTTCAGCTCATGAATGTCTCTCCTGAGACATTGTCTCTCAGCCAGACTTCACAGCATGTGGCACAGGATCTGCCGCTCCTCCACTCTGTGGGCAGTGCCAAGGAAAGGAGAAGATGACCTGCCAGGACGCATGATTCCCAGGCAGCAGGACAAAGCAGATGAAAGCACAGTAAGGACAGACATGGGTACATATGCCTCCAGCTCCTCAGCTGGTAGAAGCTCAGCTGTTGCTTTCCAGGGTCCAAGCTGGAAGCCCTGGTAGCTCCTGCTGCCCACTTACACCACTGTGCAGCTTCCCAGGCTATTGTACATGTTGGCTGGACAAGGATCAGGCCCCTTCTACACTAGACCTCAGCTTTGCTCTTATAGAATGAAAGCATTTTGTGGCATCTCTCTTGCATTCAAAGGGCAGCCTCAAAGCTTGTGCCCTGCTCAGACCACCCTTCCCTGGCAGCTATGCAACTAGAGAACAGGATCACCTGGTTGCCACTTCCCATTCCCTTATTTAGGCGTGCAAAGATACATTTGTTTTACTGACCACTGCACAGAATGATGACTTCACATTCAGTTGTCAGTGATGCATTGTACATGAATCAGACTCTGCCCTAACTCTCCCACAAACATTTATACTACAAGTCTTGTCTACAGTGTATCCCTGGGCATATAAACTTTCTATCTGGTGATACTGTTATCCTAGCCAACTATCCACATGGTTCTGCATCTGCAGTGTATCTCCTTACTGACTGCGCTCTCAGTCACCTCCAAACATGATCAGTATCTCCTTCTTGGAGAAACTCACTAAAAATAAACAGGAACAAGAACCAAATCACAGCAACATTTGAGTAATATTTCTCTGCTTAACATTTGCCAGTCTGAAACCCACAGGTTATTTTTGTTGTTAAATGAAAGGTAAACTAATATGGTATATATTCTAATACAAAAATGACAAATGAAACAATCTGAAAGGCTTAACAGAAAACAGCATCACCTGCTTTGTTGAACAAATTGTAATTTAAAAAGGGCGGGGAATTGGCACAATCTATTTTCTCTCCAGCCACATTGATTAGTATTATATTACTCTTCCTTAATTTTTAACTGATTGATTTCCAAGTCACATGTGCGGTGGCTTTTTATACTTAAATACCTAGGTCATCCAATTTACCTTTCAAACACTGGCCCAGCACTTGCTTTTCAGTCTTG